GTCAGTGTTACCAACCCTTACCAAAATTTTACCCTAAGTATTTTTTAAATTCCCCTAAAATCCCCTAAATAAAGAAAATTATATGTACCTACTTATCTTATTACCTAAATTCTTTCGTTGTTCATAAATTAAAACGTTACATATTTAGTTACAGTAAATTATTTTATTGAATAAATACATTTTCCAAATGGAAAATCAAACGAAAATGAGCTGACAGGCGGTTAAATCTTATTTAGCTGTTTTGATTGGTGGAAGGCAAAGAACTTTAGTCCATACAGCCTTAGGAAACAACCTGCCACACAGTGAGTTCAGTCGTTTCATATCGTGCTGCGTTCCATTCTGCGCACAAAACTGAAAGATAACACAAGCTTTGTTTTTCGATTTAATTGAAAGTTTTGTTAAAAGCCCCTAAAAGAACCCCCAATAAATTCCAGCCCCTAAAAAAGTCCCTTCTAACACTTCTAGCCCCTAAATCTGGGGGCAAAACCCCTAAGTTGGGAACCCTGTCGCAGGTGAAGTGATTAGAACACACATTAATTCTCCTAAATGGATTGATACCCTTGATTTATGATGAACCAAATGTTGTTATTGAAAATCCCGTCATTTGATTACGTTAAAATGTTTGTTTCATATAATATTTGATTCTATCTTAAAATAGGTATTGTACGATAACGCTTTTAAGATCCTTAATTTACCACGAATTCTGTAAACTGTCAAACTTTGGATTCGTTAAACCAAATTATAAAGGACAGTAATTAGCTTGAGGGAGTGTTGTCTCCTATCTTGTTTTCGGTTGCTCGAAATTGTAAATAAATTTTCAAGTAGGCGGAAACAAAACAGATTCCATAAATATTATAATACTAGTGGCCCGATCTAGCTTCGCTTCGGTGTAGCTGTAGACTATAGTATCCCTAGCATGAACCAATATCGAATTCGTATCGTTTGCGAGTCCGAAATGTCATTGTCAAATGTGTACTGATTTTTAGCTCTCGTTACGAACTTTGTGCCGCTGTTGTTCAAGTTTCCATACATAATTTGACATTGACATTTCGGTTTGCAAACTATTCGAATTCGATAATGGTTCGTGCTAGGGGTACAGATTTCGTTCTCAGGTTTGTATTAAACATAATGAATTTATTTATATAATTAGTAACCATGAAAATATATTTAACTGATAGTGAAAATTTTGTTGCGTAGTTTAGGATCCGTTGTACCGAATGCACCATATTTCGGTTATATTTTTTTTTTGTGTTAGATAGTGCATTTATTGAGGAATGCTTAAGGCTATATTATATTACGCTGCGATCAGTAGGAGAGGAATATCGACGTAAAATGTTGCAAAAACACAAAAATAATCCATTTGGGAGATTCCGTTGAGTGCGCTGTATAAAGGACAATGGCGAAATATTTGTTGAAGTAAATCTATAGCGTCTATAGATGTCATTATCAGAAATGTTAATAAAATAATCTCAAAAGATTTATTAAACAATTAAGGAGGGTTGTCTAAGTCTGGAATTAAAAACTTAAAAAAAGGGAAACATAATTGACTATTTATTTTTTATTTTTATTGTGGCTTGGCCATGATGGCTTTTGAGCCATTCATTTTAAGTGATTTTAGTGATGAAATCAACTTTAAATATGTTGTTCGTATGTTTTGCATTGCTTTACGCCTGAACTGTATTTAATTATATAACAAAAATATCGGGAAACATTATTTTTCAATATTATACTGAAACCATATTAAATAATCTCCACAATACAAAAAGAGTATGGCGACAATTCTAACGAAAAAAAACTATAACTGTCACTGTCATGCTTGTCATCGAATTGTTGTTGTTATTGTTATCATTATTTAACATTGTTTGTGCTTAGGTGCATGCATATTGCAAAGATTTCAATCGGCGTATTGTGTTTTTCTGAGATTTGTTTTTTTAAGTGACTTGGACTGTATTTGGACTTTCGAAATCTTTCTCTACGACTGTTGAGTAGTGCTTGCCTGAGACTTCCGAATCTGATATTTTGCTGTGGATTTTGGACACGATTCTGTCCCATACTGTGGATTTTATTTCATTGTATCTACTATCTACGATATTGTGATCAACGATGTGGAATAAAAAATATATAAAAAGTGTTGCATATTTAATTAATATCGCATTAGTACATTATTAGAAATCCTTTTTTATACTTTATTATTACATTGGGCATTTTCTAATTGTTAAGTACTTCTTACAGCACAGACATTGTATTTGAACTCTATAACTCTTGTCTGATAATAAGTATTTTGACGCGGTTGGTCAGTACCTACGCCAAAGAAAGAAAGAAAGAAAGCCAACTGATCATACATTGTAAAAAACATTTATTTCGTCACTAATCTTCAGGACCGGTGTACTTCTATAGTTCCGTTCCACGTATTTTTTATTTTGATATAAAAATACTCTTGAAACAAACTTTTATAATTCGCTTTTGCATTACTTGGTAGGACATAACCTCCAAAATTTCAAAGTAGAATATCTATAAATTCGGACTTCCTATAATATAAGAAATAAGATGAATCAAATCAAGAATGTAAACTCTATAATTTAACATGCAATTCATTTATAGACGCAAGAAAAATTTTCAACAAAAAATTGTATGGGAGTTCGCCATTGTCCTTTTTAAAGTTACAGCAAAATCATGGGCGACAAAATTGTTCCCCTTCAAAAGTTCTATAAAAAAGTCCGTAACAGCATATGCTCAACTTTCAAGTTTGACTCACTATAAACTTTTTCCTCAAATTAACGCGGGTGAAACCACGGGGGACTTTAGTTATGACATAACTGTAATACTAAGACATATTATATCACTGACTTTTTTGTAGATATTTATGTCCTCTATAAAACTTTAGTACATCACTTTGCTCTACTGTCATTGACTTCCGCAGCGTAAGCGATATAAGGTTATTTTTTCGTATTTTTTTCACACCCTAGGTTACATTATAGATGTTTTCATATAGAAAATACTGTTCAGCCTATATTCATATGCATACCAGGAATAGTGTAGGATTCTGAATATGTAAGAATTTTTCTAATTGATTCAGTATTTTCGGAGCCTATTTAATACAAGCAAACAAACGAACTAGCGAAGAGCGACCCACCACGATTTCGCACGGTTGCAGATTTCTGTACAAAACATCATTTCGATATTCGAATTTCTTGTGGTTCCAGATGGACTCTCCAAAAAAAAATCATGTTTTTGAAAAACTTTAATGCTTCTGTAACTATAAATATTATGCTAAGTATTAAAAGCCATTTACAAGCACCAAATTCTAAAATAAAGATACACGAAATAAGTCGCTAAAGTAATTCTCGGGGTCACTCAGCAATTCAGATCATAAGTACGCGAACAGCTGAGGCCGATCGTTGACTTTGATGGGACAACTTTCAGCCAAATGTTCTGCCGTTTCATTTTTCTTTAGCGTTTTAGTCATATTATTAGTATCGTTAATTTCTAAATGATCTATAACTTTTACGTTCCTATTTCATTTTATAATGGTGATAAAAAAAACAACAATTTCAATCTTTCTTTATGTTGGCTCTGCAGTTGTTGTGAACGCTATACCGCTTGTCAAGTCGACTTTAGGCCTTGTTTAATAAATTGCAAAGGTAGATAGAACCAAGAGGCTTATCGGCTTTAGCATGGAGACTGCCCTAGTCCTTAACACATATTTATATTTGGTTATGAAATTGAGTTGTTTTTGAATAGAACTCTTTTCATACCTATTAATGCCCCTCTACTGCTGGGGCACAGGTCTTTCCTATATCACATAGCGAGCCTGATGCGGATTAGTAGGTACATGGTGCAACTGAAGATGCAAATGTCACAAACAGCATCTCATGCTTACCGAAACTCACAAATAAAGAATAGTAAGACGTTATGTTTTTATTTATTTTTAAGCATTTAACTGCTAGATGTTTAAATCTAAAGAAAAGTTTACTAGACAAAAAAGTAAAGTAAAAGTTTACTAGAAAAAAAAGTGGTAAGACGTTAATCAATTTATATCAAACACGTGGTAAAAGAGGAAAACTTGTATTTATAATTTTATTTATTTTAAAGCATGTAACTGCTTGATGTTTAAATCTAAAGAAAATATAACTGGAAAAAAATCCACGTGGACCAGGCAGCAGACGGGCCTCGAACCCGCACCCTTCGCAATCCGGGCGAATGCACTGACCAATTATGCTACCGCGGCCCTCACAGACCGCGTCGAAATTCCTCAAGCCATTCTTCGCATTATAGGTAACCCTATAATTGGTCAATGCATTCGCCCGGATTGCGAAGGATGCGGGTTCGAGTCCCGTCTGCTGCCTGGTCGGCGTGGAATTTTTTCTAGTTATATTTTTTTAAAACTTGTATTTTTAAAATGCTCTTTGTACGAGTATCTCTTAAAGTGCAGAAGCTATGAGCATCTTAAATTCTTAGCATAAAATGGAAAGTGGCCCCGAAAAATGAAAATCTTAGCTTGTTGCTATCGACTTAGAACACTTGTTGCAAGTGACGAATAAATTCTGCTTGACACTGCATTAGAATCCATATTAATGTAACGTCAATGTGTGCGTAATGGAATTTACGCTTTGTTCTGATTCGACTCTGCCCGGGCGCGATGGTAAAGTACTAATTTTAACGGAAAGGATTATCGAGTCAACGATAAAATGTACTTGTGTAACTTTGTGTAGCTCGATGACAGGTGGTCAATGCGTTCGGTCTGCGATCGTGAAAGTTAAGCAACTTTTGCATGGCCGGTCATTGGATGGGTGACCAAAAACTTAACACCGCGAGCTCCTCTGTGCTTCGGAATGCTCTTTAAGCCATTGCTCCCGGCTGTATCTGCAATCGTTAGCATCCACCCGAACCGCTGGACCCACGTGGTGGATCACGGCCCCATCTCCCTATTCCACCTATAGAGTAGACCCACAGCCCCAGCAGTTGGGACATTAAAAGGGCTGATGATGATGATGACTAACCTTCAGGTACAGCCAACGACGTGAGCAAGAAATGTACACATGCCGCTCCCGTGCCGTGACCCATGAGTGTGACGTTCGTTGGGTCCCCACCGAACACTGCCACATTCTCTTTGATCCAATGGAGAGCTGCTATCTGATCCATCAGGCCGTAATTCGCTGGCGAGCGGGGGAACTCGTCAGATCGAGGGTTCAGAAAACCTGGGAACAATAAGATGAGACAAAATGAATGCAATGTTGCATGCATGCGATTTCGTAATGGTTATGGAAGGATGGAAGGAGCTCGATGGCGCAGGTGGCTAGCGCGTTCGGCTGCGATCGTTGAAGTTAAGCAACTTTCGCAGTGGTTGGTCATTGGATGGGTGACCAAAAATTGACTATCTCGAGCTCCTCCGTGCTTCGGAAGGCACGTTAAGCCGTTGGTCCCGGCTGCATTTGCAGTCGTTAGTACCCACCAATCCGCACTGGGCCCGCGTGGTGGGTCATGGCCCAATCTCCCTATTCCATCCATAGGGAAGGCCTGTGCCACAGCAGTGGGGACATTAATAGGCTGATGATGATGATGATGATATGGAAGGATAGTTTTTGACAGAATCCTACAGAAGTTTTACATTTTCCCTATGTAATAAACGTAAAGAGTACAAAGAAATTTGGTGACTCATTTCTTTGTTGCACTATCCGTAAATGGAATGTTCTGCCTGCTCACGTGTTCCCTCCTTCTTACAACCTGGGATCCTTTAAAAAAAGCGTGAAGAAACCACATGCAGGCCGGCAAGGTGAGCAAGGCTGGTGTGGCAGATAGAACTGCTGTACCAGCTATCTTCACGTCTGGACTTCACCATCACTTAACATCAGGTGGGGTGGAGTGATTTGTTGGATCTATCTATAAAAGAACGATATTATTGACAAACCCGTTCAACTGTTTTAGCATGAAAGAAAAACAAACATCCATCCATACAAACTTGCGTGTTTTTATTTTTACCGGGACTTGTAGGATAGGACTGGCTAGATTTATCTGTTAAATATTTAAACATGAATAATAAAAGTAGTTTTTAGCAGGCCGCTCTTTCACTATGGCACGGTAATATTATCTATACAGTATTGTGACTCCGCCCTGTCCTTGAAAATAAATGCCTACACCGAGCGCTGCGTTGGCACGCGGTAGGGCCGCCAGCCTACACTATTTTATGTAGTTTTGTTTTTAACGCGAGTGTAGCTAGATTACTCGTTTGTCTCTTTTTTCATCCTAACCACTTATTTATATATTATTCCAGATATCTTGCCCGATGGAAAAACCGAAATACCTAAATATTAGAAACAAATAACGTACTAGTATATTAAAATTATTCTATGAAGGTAAGACACCTTCCCAATATTTCAGGTAATTTAAAAAATGATATCTCTGGGTGTGTTATTAAAGAGTTCAAGCAACCAAAAACAGCAATTGTGCTGTTGTTGTACGATATTGATCGTCGTTTGTTCTTTTCCATACTGCCTAAATTATGTAGGTATCTACTTAATTAAATCAAATATTTACAATATAAAACGCACGTTTAAGCACGGCTAACTGCATAAAAAACAATTCAGACCGTTCGGTCGTCGTTGCGACGCGGCGGCGCATTCGCGACTGGGTGCCCGCCGAGAGCACATCGAACTCGAGTGGCGTAGGTATGACTCGCTTTCCGACTGTTTGTATGAAGATAGAATACTGTATGATATTATTACCGTGGCTATGGTCTTCTGTAAGTTTATATTTCTGCCCCAGATAGGCGCTTCATAGCATCAGAGACCCTTAATGCTTCTCCAAAAAGAAAATGCAAAAACGGGCATCGTCGAGCTTAAGACCTCTTTTTACAGTTCATAATGGACTTATATTAGTAAAACACACTTTCGGGGATGACAAATGACTATTTTTTTATTTCTTTAATGTAGCGCCAGGAATTAAGAGTTCTCTTAATGGGCCGTTACAAAGTTGTTGGAGATTTCAAACGAAACGCTTAAAGAGGATTAACTGTTTCCATTCGGATGTTTGAATGAATGGATCGCAATTGTTTTCAGTTTCATAATTATTCAGCTTCATTCTTAAAAATAAATATTTACGGTATACTATTTTTTTAATTACTAATTGTTGATTGCAATGGCTTAATAAATTAAACATAAAAATGAACTAGGTATGTTGTTTGTAAAGTTAGTTAATTTAATGAGTATGATTAATTATAATATAAAAAGGGTATGAATAAAATGTATGAAATGATTTATTATGTATTTGTTAAAATGATTTATTTAAAGCACGTAAATCACACTTACTTTAGTATAATATAATTTAGTAATGCAATAAAAAATTGCATTACAACGTGCATGCAAAACAAAAAAAAATCTATTGTTATTTTGGCGTTATGATTATTTAAAAGATTACATTCTGCTTGCATGACATTATTAAATGTACTATTTATTTATGGGAAGTCGCTGGTACCTGCCATACAGTTTATACTAGTGCATATACCAACGCTCCAATTTAATTGTTGTTTAATTAAGTAAAAATAAAAAAATCAATATATATATATATATATAATGTACAACAACATGAAATGAAATAAATAAATTATTATTATTTTATTTTACCAGAACTGTTAGTAAAATACTGTAATACTTCGAATTTTGCTACAGTTAAATGTTTTTATGAATACGAGCATTTGTCCCGGAGTTACTGTGGGTTTATTTAAATGGTTACCTATACAGACCATTTCACCATCTTAAGGCGGATTTACGCTGACGCAACAACATGCGACATTGGCGTATGCTACATATTGTGGCATAGGTTATCTGGTGGCATGCAAATAGAAACATTTTGCGGCATTTGCAACATGTGGCAGTCTATATTGACGACCTCCGTGGCCGAGTGGTTTATACGTCGGGTTTCATGGTGTCGCCGACTCGAGAGGTCCCGGGTTCGAATCCCGGTGGGGGCAGATGTTTGTGTGATGAATTCGAGCATTTGTATTCCAGTCGTGGATATTTAATATGTATTTTTATAAAATACTAGCTGTCCCAGCGAATTTCGTACCGCGATAAAAAAATAGGGGTTGCTGGTAGACGGGTGAAAATTTAGGGTTGTATGTATCTTTGTATGATGTATCATAAAAAAAAATAAAAAAAAACTGAAGTTAAAAAAATAAATTTAGGGGTGGATTACCCTTAACATTTAGGGGGATGAAAAATAGATGTTATCCGATTCTCAGACCTACCCAATATGCACACAAAATTTCATGAGAATCGGGAAAGCCGTCTCGGAGGAGTTTAACCACAAACACCGCGACACGAGAATTTTATATATTGGACTAGCTGTCCCAGCGAACTTCTTACCGCCATAAAAAAATAGGGGTTGGTAGTAGAAGGGTGAAAATTCAGGGTTGTATGTATTTGTGTATGATGTATCATAAAAAAAATAAAAAAAAATATCTAAAATTGAAAAAAAAAATTTAGGGGTGGATTACCCTTAACATTTAGGGGGATGAAATATAGATGTTGTCTGATTCTCAGACCTACCCAATATGCACACAAAATTTCATGATAATATGATTAGTTAAATGGAATGATTGTGATCCTCGTTAAGTCGAAATAAATGATTTTCAATAGAATTGAATGGAAAAGCATAATAACAAAAACCTCCAAATTTTTCCCTAAGAGCTACTTGATTTTTGAACACAATCAAACGTCAAGATTTGAGAGATGGCTGTCTGTAGCATTGTAAATATGCAAACAAATGCTTGACATTATTTGCATGACAATCAAACGAGGAGTGGCAGATAATAAGCTAAACTTGGCCATTGAGATGGATTTAGAAGAGGACTCGTTGACTTTTAAATTGATTGATTCTTGATTCGGAGCTACGCTGCATTGGAAAGGCGAACAATGGGGATTGAGCTGGATTGAGCAAAAAATCGGAGTCGTCATTCGCTTTTTGAATAGGCTTTATTATTGCCATGTAGGTACTATACTTACTACATTCATTTGGAATATCAAATGGATGGATCGGAATTCAAGAGTGTTGTTTAGATTATCCTTTGTAAAGAGATTCGAGTGGCATTCCTAAGACAAGTAAGAGCTTTCCATAAGTGTCATAACTTTTCTTTTGTGATTATAGCAGAAAAATTATTGAAAAATCATTTGTAATGATCAATAAAAATATCGATCATTTTAAGACATGTCACTAGTTCGAGGATCATTAAAAATAACTGTTTTTATAAAAAGTTCAAACTTCACGCAAATATTTTAAGAAAATTAGAGAAGACTCCTTATATGATGTAGTTCAACGCCCTTTAATTTTTATTTTTATTTTTGTAACACCCTGTATATAACTATTCGAATTCGATAATGGTTAGTGCTAGGGGACTAAAGTGACACTTCTTTTCTTAAATAACCTAACGTTAGGCGGTGCATAAGGCATAGGAGAATGGAGCAGCGTTTCAGCCTTAGCCGAGTTACCCTCCAACTTTTATGCTCGTCGGGAAGAGCTACGCACGCATCCCACACAGACACGCACATATTTATATATATATAGTCGTGTGACGCACTTCCGTTTCATCTTGACGACCTCCATGGCCGAGTGGTTTGTACGCCGGGTTTCATTGTGTCGCCGACTCGAGAGGTCCCGGGTTCGAATCCCGGTGGGGGCAGATGTTTGTGTGATGAATACGAGCATTTGTACTCCAGTCATGGATGTTTAATATGTATTTCGATGTATATATTTATGTACTATATATGTATTCTATCCGTTACCCTAGTATCCCATAACACAAGCTTTACAGTGCTTACTTTGGGCCTAGGCTAATTGGTGTGAATGTTGGAAATATTTATTATTATAAATATTTATATATTATAAATATACTAGCAAACCAGTGAACCAAATGTTCACCAATTAAAAAAAATGTATTTAATTAATTGAGAACTTCGGAGATTTTGTGTGGTTTGGTTTGAAATTCGTGATTTCTCGAAAACCGGAAGTGCTACGTTACTCAAATCCGGTTTGTAGTCTTATCAGACTATTCTTAACTTATAACGTAAACATTCTCTTTATCTATCTCTTACTGTTTGGCCGCTGAAACAGCACCACAGACAGACGGACTGACTTGTCTAATAGATAAGAGATTATATTATTATATTTTCTATATTTATTATTATTATTATTAACTACTCACTGA